ATGCTTGTGCAAATACTGGATTAAAAAATATGCAATGCTTTATTAGTGCATGTCTATACTGCCAGCTACCCATAAGGCTGAGGCAGGAGGATCTTAAGTTTTAGCTCAACCAGGGCAATGTAAGGAGACCATATTTCAAAATAAAGAACAAAAAAGGGATCCAGAGTAGCTTAGTGGTACACTGCTTGCCTAGCAGGCAGGAGGCCCTCAGTACTACTCTCCTCCAAAAAAAACCCCTGTATTTATTAAGTATGGAAGACATTATTTCTTTTAAAAACAAAAGGGGAATAGGCAAGATGAAAAAGTTAAAGTAGCCTAATATCACCAAACTACTAAAGTATGTTGGGCATTATCATCTTTTGGATATGCATTCATCCAAGTTCCAAAGTACTAAAGCAGGAAATGCCAACTGCTTAAAAAATCATGGCTATCAACACAAAAACATGGTATACTACAAAAGAAAAAGACAAGCATCACTTTGTTTCCAACAGAACTTTATGAAAAACTTCACAAAGCCTAGGTATGATGGCCCATGCCTGTAATTCCAGTACTTAGGAGGCTGAGACAAGAGGATCCTGAGTTCAAGGCCAGTTTGAACTACATTGTGAGACTGTGTTTTACCTCAGAAAGGAGGTAAGAATTAATGGCATGCAATCTTCATCAATAGAATGTTAGCTCGATAATACCAAACGAAAAATACTTTATTCAGTTTTTAAAAATTTAAATCACAAAGAACTACTGAATTTGAGGTCAGAAGGAAAATTACCAAGCATTATATGTAGACACAAGTGCTGCCAATTCTTCCTATATAAAAGTTAATTAAAATTCTATGGCATTTCTAATATACAAATAAATGGTTCACAACAACCAGATAACTTTTTTATTCTGTACTTGGGTAACAGGAAGAATTCAGCACTGTGAAAAGGAGAGATATTGAATTCTAGTGTTGGCTGTAACCTGGCTATGTAAATTTAGCCAATTCATCTAACCTCTTGTGCCTCAAGGTCTCCATCAATATTACAGTATTGGACTAAACCATTTACAATATACATTCCAGTTCTATGAATCTGTGATTGTGGATAAAACATATTTTAGGTAACATTACAGTACTGTCACAAATGTAAAGCTTAATAACATGAATAACTAGGATGTGAGCTTAGAAGCTCTGCTTTGCTCACTGCCATTTTGCTTATGTCTGTCTCCCTTTATCTTTTTTTTTGGTACCAGGGATTGTCTCCCTTTATCTTTTTAAAATGAAATGTAAGATATTCTTTCAAAACATAGGGCAGATTTCATGCCTTGCCCTCTTTGTTTATTGTAAACTCTCATCAACCACACACTTTGTTGACAATATCCAACACCGGCCTATCAGAAGACACTACCAAAGCCATCTATCACTGCTGATATTACTACAGGGATACGAGATATAGATTACCTGAATGGTAGTGGTAGCTTAGCTTCACCTATATTCTATCTTTTACTAGTTTCAAAAAACAAAACAAAAAAGACTAGGAAATGTCTCTCCCGTGTCTAATTTCTTGGCAGGAAGTCTACTGACCTGCAGCTTACAAACAATTTTGACTACAACCTTCTAAAACAGCTAAATTGAAAGAATATTAAGAATTCCAGTGTCAAACATCATGGCGAACACCTGTAATCCCAGCACTGGAAGACCGAGGCAGAAGGATCTAGAGCTCAAGGCCAGACTGGGTTACACAGGAGACCCTGCCTCAAAACAAACAAACAAAAATACCAACTCCAGTAAAGTAAATCAAAAGACAGAAGACCATGCCATGCTGCCAATTTATAAGATCAAGTTAGTTTTTAAAAATCCATTATAGCCAGGCACGGTGGCAGGAAGATTGCAGTTTGAGTCCAGCCTGAGAGCAACTTACTAAAAAACAAAAAAAAATTTAAAAGGGGCTGGTGATGTACCTCCTATGAAGGCCCTGGATTAAATTCTCAGTAACCCCCCCCCAAAGGAAACCATTATGACATTTCATCTCACTTAAGTATTTTAGACGGTGAATTTAATCTTCAATTACCCACTTCCTGTTCTCTTATTACAGAGCTATGTCAGTAAATAAGAATTCGGTCTTATCCATACACTGAATTTTGAGTTGGTTCTCTCATTATTCCCAAGAAGTTAAATAAATAAAACTCAAAAACACAAAAGGCTCATGTGTTTATTTTAAAGGATATTAATGTAGCCAGGCATGGTGGCACATGCCTGTAATCCCAGCACTCTGGGAGGCCAAGGCAGGAGGATCACAAGTTTGAACTTAGCCTGGGCAATTTAACAAGACCCCGTTTCAAAAAACAATTAATTACTGGTAATGTTGGTGCTCATCAGTAACTAAAGTAATATTTTTAATGAACATAAGATTTCCTACCAAAAAAATCAACTTTTCAAAAGTTATGGCAATTTTAAAAATTAAAATCATGATCAAAAAAGAAAATATCTACATTTATCATTGTCATATTTGATGAAAATCATTTTGTATTTAAGGCCAAACATGCTGACAAATGTCTATGATGAATCAGTGTTCCTACATAGAAATGATAAAGTGTCCATATATCCCTGGTTTGTTCAAAGTAATGGTTTACAACTATGTTGAAGTAATAATATTACCCCTTTTTACTCTCAAAAGTATCTCAATTTGGGTGATTTAAATGGTCCTTTCTTCCTATGGTCAAGTAGAGATCAGGAGGAGGGGAATTTTTTCATTCCAGAAAAATTTAAAACATTAAACATAAATATCTCTCCCCACTTCTAGAAAGCATGTTCATCACCAAGAAAACTCCATTAGACTGGCAAATGGAACAACACAACCTGTAGTTGTGAATTTACTACAAGAGATCCATAAATCTACACTTAATACTAGGCACTTTCTATTGATATTTATCTCACACAGATGTAGGTACTATTATGACTAATGAGATTAAAATCTTGAGTTGAAGCATTCTGATAAAATCTTAAGAGCCAATAAAAAATGCCAACTATGTATTTTAGGAGGAAAACCGTAAGTTCCCACTCTGGGAAGCAGAGGGAGGAGGAATATAAGCTTGAGCTTAATAGCCTGGGAAACTTAGGGACCTACCCCAGACCCTGTCTCAAATTTAAAAATGAGCTGGGGATGTAGCTCAGTACTGCAAGAAAAATCTATTCAAAGAATCCAGATATTTTAAAATACAGTGGTACTTTAGTTCACAAATACTTTTGTTTGCAAACAATTTGGTTCGGAAACAGAAGCATCTGGCAAAATTTTGTTTTTGTTTGCAAACTCTGAATCTGGTGACAAACAGGTCAGCAGCTATCCATCCTACACAAACACAAACATGGCCATCTTTTCCAAAATCGTAGAACAAATTAAGTTTGTGAACCGAGGCATCACTCTATATCTCAATTGACGAAAGGAAAAATGAACTGTTTATCTGGAAAACTTCATCTGAAAAAACTTTCATATTCAAGGTTGAGAAAAAAGTAATGATAAAAAAGGGGACACAGAATTTTACTGCTAACGTACACTTGTTATCGAAACTTCAAAAGTATTGTGTAAACTGTATGATTTTTTAAATAAATGGGCTATAAGGTTTTGGAAATCTTGTATTATACAAAAATGTTAAAGACCTAAACTTACAAAAGAAAAACTTGTCCCCATATTAGGACTGACCCAAAATTCTACCACCTTATTGGTCTGATTTGACAAGACTTTTACTTTCTAATTTATTAACCATTCTATGGTAAATCAAGGGAACAAAAGTTGGTCAGTAATCTGTTCTATTTCCCAGTCCACTAGGACTATGAAAAAAGTAATGCATGCACATGTAATTCCATAAATACAGATTCATTTGACCTGTATTATTTAAGGCTTCACATGCTCACTAACCTAAAAGGTATACACCAACTGAATATTTCTAGATATTTCATTGTTATTTCTTAAAATTACTTCTGATTTTAAAGTAAGTTCATCAAATTACATCAAGAGCACTAATAGTTGAAACAGAACAGTAACAAACAAAAAGAAGTGGAGGCAATTGCTTGGTAAAGTCTTACCTACTTCATAAAGCAGGTTACTTTTAAGAGTCAATGGAAGTTTTTGATGCAACATAACCTATAAATTTATTACTTTTGATTTTCATTTCACTTTCAAAGTAACTTGAAAGTAAAGCAGTCTAGAGGCATTGAAGTCTGATGACTTCAATGTTAGACAGACTGGGGATAAAAATGAAGGTTCCATCATCAGCTAGCTTTTTAACTGAGGACAAATTAACCTCTTGAGTTTCAGCTTTCTCTGTAAAATAATCAACATCTTCAAGAGGCATTGTTGTGAGGATTATAAAATAATTCATGTAAATCACAAGGCCTAGTCCATAAACCTTCAACAGAAATTAATTATTAATTTAGGCTATGCCAGTTTGCCTGGGATAACCCAACTTTGCACCTGTCCAGGAATAATTAAGAATGTTCCTTTTACTTTAAAAATTGTTCTTGTTAGGGTGATACATTTATCTTTAAAATGGTATGACAAAAAAATTAATACCATTAGAGTATTATACACCAATTTTGATTTTTACTCAAGGGAAAAAAATCAAGTATCACACAAAATATGTAAGATCAAACTCTTGTAAGATATTTTATGGATATTTCAGTTATTCTTCAAATAAAGGCTTTTTAATTTATTTCTACCTATGTTATTTCAATGATTTATGGCAGCAAATATTTTTTGTTCTTTCTGTTTTACACAGGTATTGGTAAAGTTCAGATACTATTTTAAAAGAGTAACATTCACAGATAAAGCACTGGTGAGTTCCAGGTACTAAAAAACATTACCCTTTGAATTCCCAGTGAAAAGTATCCATTCTCATCATGAAGAATGCCCAACACCAACTAACATTTATCAGTGAGCCCATCCAACCCAAAGGCCTGTAAAACAGAATATTTTAAAACATGCATTCTACACATAAATCATGAGGAGACGCAACAAAAAATAAATTACCTGACTGTTATGACATAGTACTGAAATACAATAAACTGGATTTTAGTTTTCTTCACTCTGCTCTAGAAAAAAAAAGAATCCATTATTCTTCTTCTAAGATACACATTTTCTTTGAAATACAATATATCCTTAAAAAACACATATCCTATATATTTTAGTTACACACACACACCCCATAACCTAATCTAAATAACAGTATTCAGGTATTTGGGGAGACCAAAAAGATCAGAGGGAACCAGAAGTTACATAAAAGATTTCCTTTAAAGGCTGAGGGGTAATCTACCTTTTTAATGTACCCTTACTTAAAATACGCCTTTTCCTTAACAGACCAGTAATTATTTGTATTTTCAGATTCTGACAGTCACTTTCAAGGACTTACTTGGCACATTAGTCTAAGGCAAGAACTAAAGTATTAAAAATCATCAAAATCATCAATGTCAACGTTTGTGACATTTTGAATAATTTATCCTAAAATCGTGTTTTCTAAAACGGCTCAGTACTTAATCTGTATTTTCTTAGTTTAGAAAACTGATTTGAGTAAGGGTCAGGCCTGTAATTGTGCCTGCCAGTTCTTAAGTACTACAGGACTGACATAATGTATCTGATGGGGTGATTTAAGCAGTTATTTTGTAATCATGGAGAGCCAAAGAAACGATTACATTTATTATTTCTTCCTCTCTTCAATCATCCAAAAGCACTGCAGTTAATTTTTATTCAGGAAACGCAGGCTCCTTATTGCCAGCAAAAAATTACTGTGGGACCTTCCTTGCAAATGGTGGATAACAATCTGATAGAAATGCTCCCTCTGGTTCCTAAACGAAAAAATGACCTAAATAACAAGTCTGATAGGCCTCAGATTCCCGAACTAACCTGTGGAATAAGTATGGTGAAACTGTCTCGGGAAGGAACGTGGCTGTCTCCTCCATCTTGAAATTAATCAGCATAAGGGAAAAAGGGACTGAGTGTTCAGGAAGCAGAAGCCCAACCGGTTAATACTAGTTACTAAACTATGGCGTACGTGGCAGGTACTGCCCGCAGAAGCCAAGACCCTTAGGCTTGCCTTTTTTTTTTTTTTTTTTTTTTTGGTGGAAGGAGGGGTTAGGTTGTTGGCGGAGGGAACGGAAATTAACTTGAAAATAATTTGGCCTAATTCCCACCCTTACCCAGGGAAAAACAACAAACTCGCAACGGCCTTTCCCTCTCTTTTAGGGGGATCCTTCCAGTAGTATCTGGCAGAGGATAACCCAGGATTATATGAGCGAAGGGGTAAACCACATTTGCCTCAGATCCTCTGGGAAGATGTCATCGCGGACCCAGGGTCGCTTAATCGGTTTTGCTCTGTGGAAGGGCCCAAAGTGGGACTTTGCAAATCCTGGGAAAAATCTTAAGGCCTAAGGATTCCTAGCATCTGAGTTAGAGCACTCTGATTTTTCCCAAAGCCAAGCTCGCCACGTAAAACGCGGGACGGCGAGGGAAGCCTCCCAAAAGCAGAAGAGAGTAAAACCTGGGGCACTCTCAGATTCTCAAGCCTGAGTCCAGAACTCGAAAGCACCTCCATGAAATTCTTAAGGCTCTGGAGGGCCCAGGCTTCAGCTCGACTACCCCTCCTTCCCCTTCTTCAAAGAGCCGGTCGACCCTACCACCAAACTAAAATGGCAGCAGCGACTACGCTACGGAGCACCCCTGCAGCAACAGGCCTGGGGTCCGGAGGCGGCGCTGAGCCTCTGCCACGACGCATTACTCGGGCCATTTTGAGAGAAAGCGGCAGCTGCGGCTCCGCGGTCTTCCTGTTGCCCAACCATCCATTTCAGAGAATTCCCATGCCTTCACTTACTCAGTTTTAAGATCAGGATCGGACTCGGTTAGTTCAGCCGTTTCCGCTGAGGCTCTTCCGCGCCTCGGCTGCCTCCGCTTTCAAGCTCTCTCGAATGGGTGGCTGGCTGAGACCCGCCTCTACCCCAGCGTCTGCTTCCAGACGTTGCTCAGGCAGCCATTATCTTCCCCATTGTTACCAAGCAGCGACAGGAAACGACGGCCCACAACAGGAAGTGATGATGCCGAGTCCCGGCGCTGCAGTCCCGTTCCCAGCCTGTTAGCCAATCTCAGTCGATTCTCGAAAAGGCTTGGTGAGCCGAGGAGGGGTACAGCTGCCGACAAGGCGGGGAGGGCGTCGGCTTGGAAAAGGAAAGCTGCTATGACGCCCACCATGTGACAGGCCCCACCCTCCTCCGCCATTTTGAATTGTGGCGAGAAATTCGCGTTCTGAGAATTGTGGGAATCTTCCCTTTCCCATTTTGAAAGTTGGAGAACGTCACCGTCTGGCGACGTGAATCCTTTTTCAGAGAGCGAGAAATGTGATATTGGTCTAACCTGGCCTCGATTCAATCAGTCCCCACGAATTCATACAGCATCTTACATTTTATTCTACATACCTATTTATTGAGCGCCAACTGTAGGTCAAGCACTATTGCAAATGTTGAGAAAAATAGACCAAAATTTAAAAATAAATAAAATCTTAGTTCTCATGGATCTTGATAATTTAATGAGGCTATATTAATTTTTGAAAAGCAAATTACCTCATATTAATTGTTGATAAATGCTAAAAAGAGAAAGTGGGGAAGGAAGATGGGACAGCACCCTATAGTTTAAAACAGAAATTGCAAGGCTTAAAAGTGTTGAGAGTCTCTTTGAGGTGGTAACTCTGAAGTACTTGAAAAAGGGAGGTGATTGTCAAAGGGTGGGAAAATCTGATAGAGGTGGAATTCCTAAAAAGGCTGTTAAGGAAGCCTCTCTTATATGGTAATTCCTGAAGGAATGGAGGTATTCCACCACACAGCATCTAACTCCTATTGCCCCAGTTAAAAGAAAATAACCTTCCCAGTTTTTTAGGGTGCTTCTGTGTTTTTTCCTCCATTTTCCTGATAACAAGTCAGGTAGGGTGGCTTTCTTACTGTTTTCCAACAAAACTAACTTGTTCCCACCTCAAATACTTTGCCTAGGCTGGAATATTTTCCTTTGATATCTTTGCTTTCATCACCCAAGACTCATTATTGTCACCTTTTCAGAGAAACTTTCCCTGCCCTTACCTGCTTAATTTTCTGTAAAGCACTTTTCAAAATATAGTATTTATTTGTTTGCACAATCTTTTAAAAGAAGTAAACCTTGTTTTGCCCACTGTTGTATCCCTACGAACTGAATAATAGACTCTCATGTTTTGGGGAAGAATTCCCGCCTCGGTATAGTGGAGTTTTAGGAGCCTGGAATAAAAGCAAAATTTTATTTCAAGCAATTAAAACAGTATCTCTTGTATCCTGTTTATCTCCCCAGCACGTTTGATATTGTCTTGTTGACAATGTAATGTATGATTTAGAGGCTGTCTCTACTAAGTTTTTGTCTTATTTTTCAAAATAATGTATTAGAATGTTTACCTGGAATGTATAAAATGAAGTCTTCAGCTATCTGCAACTGCCGTTAAGCCTAATATTAAGACTATGGCAGTAACTAGCCACTCCTGACATACTCTTGAGGCACATGTAGATTAATGTAAAATATAAAATAATAAAAGTGGGAAGAATACGTGAATATTTCTATAGCCTTGAACTATGGAAGGACTTTCTAAATATGCAGGAGGATGTTCTAAACATGGCACAAATCCATAAAGGGAAAGACTAATAAAATACAATTTCCTAAATAAAAGTAAAGCTTCTGAGTGTCAAAATACAAGGTTAGTAAAGCTTAAATACAAATGACATATTGAAAAATATGATTTTAATATGACATGACAGCTTAGAGTTGATGTTATTGTTTTATAATAAAATTAAAAGACAAATGACAAACTGGCAAAATGCTGCATATACAGTAAACACATATGACTAAATATCACAAATATATAAAAAGTATTAAATTGATATGTATTTGGTGCTGGAGAGAGAATCCAGAGCCTTGCATACCACTGAACTACACCACAAACCATAAACTGATTTTTTTAAATTGAAGATTTAAAGGCAAGGGAAAGCCACTTAGGTTTGACTAGCATTATGAGTTAATTAAAATAGTGTAGCTGGATGTGGTGGCACACTCCTATAATCCTAGCACTCTGGGAGCCTAAGGCAGGAGGATTACAAGTTTGAGCCCAGTCTGGGTAACTAAAAGACTTAGGGAGAACTTGTCTCAAACAGGGCTGGGCGTACAGCTCAATGTGAAAGTCCTAGGCTCAATACCCAGTACTGCAAAAAATTTAATAAAAGTTTATTTTTATTTTATCTATTTATTTTTCAATCCCTAGTACTACAAAAAAATTTTAACAAAAATGTATGTATGTGTTTGTTTATTTATTTATTTTGAGGTACTGGAGATTGAACCCAGAGCCTTCATACTAAGCCACATCCTCAGGCCTACATTCCCAGCCCTTGTTTTCATTTTGAGACAGTCTCACTAGGTCGATAGGTTGCCCAGGCTGGGCTGAAACTTGTGATCCTCCTGCCTCAGCCTCCCAGAGTGCTGGCATTACAGGTTTATGTCACCACTCCTGGCTAAAAGTTGATTTTTAAAAAGATAAATACCCCAGTTTTGAAATGTACAAAGGAATGGTTAATTTTTTTAAAGGAAGCTGGGTGTGGTGGTGTACAACATTCAGGAGGCTTAGGCAGGGGTATCTCAGCAAGTTTCAAGTCAGCCTGGGCTACATAATGCATTCAAAGCCAGCTGGAACTACATAATGAGACCCTATCTCAAAAAGAAAAAAAAAGGAGAAAATATTTGGCTGATAAACATAGAAAATATGCTAAATCTTACTATTAATGAGAATAAAAAGTGATTTTTCTTTTTCTAGGGGCGCCTAACAGTATGTCAGAGATTACAAAACAATTCACAATATTGAGTGTTTATGAAGATCCTTCGAAATGAGCACCTTACACTTTTTTGTTGTTGCAGTGCTGGGGATTGAACTGAAATGGGTACAATAAAAAGAATAAAATGAACACAATTATATGCTTAGTGCTACTTTTTACTTTTTATTTTTTTGGCAGTACTGGGGATTGAACCCAGGACCTTCACACTAAGCTATATTCCCAGCCCTTTTTATTTTTTATTTTGAGACAGGGTTTGCTAAATCACTAAATTGCTCAGGCTAAGCTTGAATTTGCAATCAACCTACCTCAGCCTCCCAGAGTGCCAGGATTAAAGGCATAGGCCACCATGCTGGGTTTAGTGTTAGTTTTTAAAGACAAAGGCTTGGTGACATATCTCCAAGCCTCAATATATCTATACTGTTTGAGCAACAAATCTATCATCTATCTATCTATCTATCTATCTATCTATCTATCTATCTATCATCTGGTGCTAATCATAGTGTAGTTTGTAGTATTAAAATGTTGAAAAATCAGGAAAGACAACTACTTAATAATAATTAGTCAAATATACTAAATCTACATGATGGACTACTACATATCCATTAAAATGTGTTCACATGTTTTGTTCACATATTTGTCACATATTTGTAGTGAAAGAAAGAAATTTATAAAAACATGTATGATTATTTTTAAATTAAAAAAATATAAGTACACCTAGAGAAGCGTATAAGTGAGTATACATGCAAATAAAATGTGCTGGAAGTATTAGTCATGTTAACTTCCTTCTTTACCCCTTTCTATATGGTCTTGAATATTTTAGTGTTGCATATATTATTTGATATTGGAGAGGAAGAGCCATTTTCATTTTTAAAGAAAAATCTGAATTTGACACTCGTGCATGACAGAATCTACTTTAGCAACTTAATACTTCATGGCTCAAATATCCACTTAATTGTGTCTTTTGCATGTTTTCCTACCTTTTTATAAACATGGAACTGCTTGCTTCCAATATCTAGGAAATTACTTACTTCATCTCATAACAATTTAGCCCATGATGCCACTTAATGTCATTCTAGAACCTTGAAACAGTCAGACTACTTAGTTTCTCTTTAGCCTAATTGCATTTCCTTACCATGTTAGTTTTACTTATATGTGACCATCAAATGATTTTTACACCTTCTAGTTCAAGTGACCTTTAGGAAAATAGAAAAGAATGTCCATTTCAAGCATATGCTGGTGAACTGGGATATATCAGTAAGACCACACACAAGAAGACTCTGTGCTCTGTGACATGATAAATATTGAACAAAGACTTATCAATGTAATGAATATTACAAAGGATATGTGTGTACAAATGGGAGTATATGAAAGGAATCTTTAGCCAAGAGAAGCTGTTAGTTTTAGTTGAGACTTGAAGGAAGAATGATGGTTCAGAAAGATAAGGGAGGAAGCCTGAGAGAGAAAATAACCTTGTACAAATTCCCTGGGGTGAAAAAGTGAAACTCGAGGAACCAAAAGAATAATTTATTTTCTTTAGTAAATATTCCATTTTACTTCTACACAGCACTCCTCACATTGGAATTTAGTTAGTCTGTTTGTTTGTTTACTGATTTAATTTATATGTTTATGATCTGTCTGTTTTCCTGCTGGCCAGCCCCTTCCCCTAGAAGTATAAGCTCCATGGGACCTGGGACTTTGCCCTATTTCCTCATTCTTGTATTTTCAGAGCCTAAATATCAAGTAGACATATTTCTTGAATGAATCAATGAATTGGTTTGTAGTTTCTATTACAGATTTTGGATTTTATCCAAAGAGCAATTGGAAGTTGGTGAAGAATTTTAAAAAGAGAAGTTATATGATTTAATTAAAGTTTGACAAGAGACTGTTTAATGGCTGCTATGTGTTTGACTCATTTTTTGTCTGTTTGTGTGTGTGTGTTTGTGTGTGTGTGTGTGTGTGTGTGTGTGTGTGTGAGAGAGACCCAGTCTCGCTAGGCAGTTCAGACTGTCCTTGAACTCATTGTGTAGCCCAGGCTGACCTCCAACTCTGGATCCTCCTGCTTCAGCCTTCTGAATGCTGGAATTACAGGGTGTACCACCTCAACCAGCTGTATTTTTTGGGGGGGTGATTGAAGATTGAACCCAGAGCCTGTTCCCTAAACTACATTCCCCAGCCCTTTATTTATTTTTTATTTCAAGACAGGATCTTACTGAGTTGCTAAATTGTCCAACCTGGGCTCAAATTTGTGGTCCCTCTGCCTCAGCCTCCCA